CCTTCTCTCTCTCTCTCTTTCCATGTCCATCTTCTCTTTCATCATTATCCTTCTCTCTCTCTCTCTTTCCATGTCCATCTTCTCTTTCATCATTATCCTTCTCTCTCTCTCTCTTTCCATGTCCATCTTCTCTTTCATCATTACCCTTCTCTCTCTGTCTCTCTCTTACGCGCACAAACTTAGTAAATAAATAATGATGCTAATTAATAATTGTATTTCTATGACACATGTCCCTGCTGTACCGCCAGCCCTGTGCACGTCACAACTTTGGTGCCCCAGTAGACCCTAGGCCACAGCTCAGAGGCAACTGGTGTGCACACCAATTATACCTACATCTGTCTTTGGCCTCTTTCATTTTCATCTTTGTCCCCCCACTAACCAATGACATGTCCATCCCCCAGAACTACTCATTATCATCATCATTATCATCATCATTATCATCATCATTATCATCATCATTATCATCATCATTATCATGTTTTAAAGTAGGAAAAAAATAGGTATACTTGAGACTTGAATAGGGTAGGTGTCGTTTCATCAGATGTCGGTATAGGCCTGGATGTTCAACGTTTAGCCAATAGGAACATAGTATCTGAGGAAAAAAAGAGTGATGATGACATAGCAACAAAGCGTTCACTACAAGTTACGTATTGGTGTGATTTGGACAATATCGGAAAGAGCCGAAGCTCGGAAAAAGAAAAGCTAAGTTATCATCATCATCATCATCATCATCATCATCATCATCATCATCATCATCATCATCATCATCATCATCATCATTCTTCTTCTAATTCTTGCTTTTGTTTTCTTATTATTTTATCATGGGTGGTTGACGGGTGTACTGGTGTGGTTTGCTCCTTTTTTCCTGCAAACTTCTCTCCTCCTTATCTCTTCTTCTTCTTCTTGTCTTTTTATGTTACTCTCTCGTTCCACCTCTAACTTTTGGCACTTCTATGACTTGATTGAGTTGCAAGTGGCGTAAAACTTTTACCAAAAAATGTGTGGGATTTTTAATGCGTTCTGTTTTTTCCTTCTATTTATGACCTAATTGTATCACAAGTGACGTAAAACTCTTACTAAAATTGTCGGTTTATTTTGTTTTGTTTTGTTTTGTTCCCCCGTCCCTGCAGGGAGCGGCACAAAGGGGGCGTGGCGCCGGGCTGGAGGGTCGTGCACAAGAACCGGGTCACTGTGGATAACAGACTGGACAACCTGGAGCTGGTGAAGGACGACGGCTCCGACCTGTTGCCGCGGCAACCAGAGGAGGAGGAGGCTGCGGGGGGAGAGGGCGCTGGCAGCAGCAGTAGCAGCAGCAGCAACAACAG